TGAGAGCCACAATTCACACAATAAAATGGAAATTAATTATTTAAAAATCATACATTGTATTTTTCTGGATTTTTGTTTTAGATTCCATCACTCACAGTTGAAGAGTACCTATGATAAAAGTCTTCTACAAGCTTTGCAAGTGGGAAAACCTGAAAAATCAACAGTGTATCAAATACTTGTTCTCCCCACTGTACCTGGATATTCTCTGGAGGTCTGAAACGCCTCTATCAGCGACATCTGTCTGGGGGTCGAGGGTCTGTCCAGGCAATGAGCAAAGTTTCATCTCCTCTCTCTGTTCTGGTAGCTCGATGTTTTCTTGCTCATGGTTTTTCATGTGCTTATACAAACTTGTCGTGTTTTCACTGCATTTAACCAGCTTTTTACAAACCATACAGCTTGCCGTTGTTTCATTTACCGCATTAGAATAGCCAGAAGGTGCTTCGTTCCCTCTCCGGGCCTGAGCCTGCGCACTAAGCCGGTGATCAGAGGGGAGGGGGGAAGAGTAAAGCACTGTAACACAGACTGGGGAGACTGGTGAATCTGCTGCAGTTAGTGCATGGAGGAGAGAATATAAATTATCAATCTTATTAAACGAATATTGTCCAATATCAATACCAGCGTAAGTATCGATCCTAAGATCGATCCGTCCACCTCTAGCAGAGAGGAGAGTGCTACAGAATGATGCTACCACCAGGGCAGAGCTTGCATAACGCTGCCAGCAAGTTTTGTCACAAAAAGATTATACCAGCTATAAACTGGGACTACAGTAGCAGCAATTCAAAATGGCGCTTCCCAGCCAAAAGCCACCGAATGGCAGCTAAATGTCCTCCAACTTCCAGCCACGGGCGTTCTCATGGGCAGGGATTTGTTTTTACTCCGACTCCATCCTTTCACTGAATTAGTAGAGTGTCCAGTGGATTGTTTTTTTTTTTACTTTTAGTTGGAAAACACGTCTAACTTCATCAACAGGGTCGTTGTTTCAACAGGAAACATAAACCAATGTTTGCTGTCAGCTCCATGACCATGCAGGACATAAACAGTCTTTTTTTTTTTTTTTTACTCTGTAAGCAGAAACAGATCTGATCTTCACAGGAACAACATAAACACGTTTAATCCCACCAATACAGGCACTGCAGCTCTCTCCGCAGCATGAGCTATCAGACCGAGCCGAGAATTTCCCACTTTGTTGAACTTTCTAATCCAGAATCTTTCAGCTTTGAGCATATTTGACATTTCCTCATAAGAATATCAGTAAAGAGACCGACATGTTTGCTTGGCACCAAACAGAAAGTTTTATGGTCATGACTTCAGGCTTTATTTATGTTTACCAACATCAGCCACCAGGAGGTGCTGTTTATCCCAATTCTTTTCAATTATACATTTTATAAAAATCTTTACATAGAAATACAATCCTAATTTGACTATTATAACCAACATTTATATTAAAGATATTTCTTTAAAATCAGAAACTGAAAATAAACGTAGCCATAGATCAAAGAAAAGGGATATTTAATATGAAAGCATTTTTTTAACAGCTGAACTTTAACATCAGACGTCCTCCTTTTCATTTGCACAACATGCACAAAAATATGGCCGCCTCAGAGTTCTGCTGAATCCCTCCTAAAACAATTCAAAGAAAGAGCAGGAGGCTTCGATTGTCTGCAAAGACATGTGTGGAAAGTTTAAACTGGGATGAAAATCCAAGCAAGCGATGAATTGTACCACATCAAGAGAAGATATGAAGGAGGGGGGGGACGTTTCCTTAGATATCTTATAGCCTAATAATATCACATATTTTGCAGCAGTCCCAGTCAGAGAGCTGGTCGTTTCCTGGACCTCCACTCGTTTAACTGTCCTTCAGCTCAATTCCTTTTTGTTTTCAGCTGTCGAGCAGCTTCGGATCATTCATTCTTACGCGGAGAAATAGATTATAATTCCCACAATGATGAGTCCGATCCCCACTCCCACGGCGGCGACCACGATTTTCATCCTCTTGTTTTCCAAAAATTTCTGCTGCTTCACTTTGTGTGTTTTTTTCTCAAAAACTTTCCCCTGGAAAACAGAAAAAAACATGTTGAAATAAGTTTGGTCACACAAACAATTCATCCAAGTGATATCAGAGGTGAGAAAATAGACTATTTTTAAAGTAATTTCCTCCTGTCCTGGTCTGAAGGGGGAGATTTACCATTAGGCAATACTAGGCAGTTGCCTAGGGCCCCTAGTTCTTGGGGGCCCAATAAAACTC